TAATTTTTATTTTATTATGTTATGTTAATCACCATACATTTGCACAGTAGACTTTTTCAAAATTTCTATTTATTCTCTTTTAAGCAAGATCTGTATCTATGTCTTTCTGAGAGTTTATATAATTTATTAGTTCACTCAGCCTAGTATAATGCTCACTCCAGTCTTCTGTTTCTTATAGTAACTGTAACATACTCTTCTCAAATCTAGTATTTTCTTTGTAAATCCCATAGAGTTTAGATTCTCACTTTATCATAACTTAGTTTAGCTTCATTTTCTCTCTCACATATTATGAAATTCTTTGTAAAACCTTTGACTTTCAATAGGTATGTTTTGCCAAATATCTTTTCCATTTACTTAGATTCTATTCTGTCTCAATTCTCAATAGAACAGATGTATTTCCCACAGCATTTGGTATATATATTTTTAAGATTTATTTATTTATTTTAGAGAGAGAGAAGGAGAGAGTGTGCACACAAATGGGGGGAGGGGCAGAGGGAGAGGGTGAGAGGGAATCTTCAAGCAGACTCCCTGCTAAGCGCAGAACCCAGTGTGGAGCTTGATCTCAAGACTCTGAGATCATGACCTGAGCTGAAATCAAGAGTCGGATGCTCAACTGACTGAGCCAACCCAGGCGCCGCTGGTTTATTTCTTTAACCCTCTGACTAAATATTTAAGACAGACATGTTCAGAAATATTCTTTGTTTCTTGATTTCTTCAAAAGATATCATTGTTTTTTTCAATCACCTTTTCATAATTTAAAATCTTTTAAATTATTTTTATAGTTTATTTCAAGCTAGTTTTAAACATTAATGCGATTTATTTTTATTGATAAATTCTACTGTTTAAAAGGAACATTCTTCAGGGGAAAATGAGAAACTAATTCCAATAAACAAATAATAACTAGAGATTTCTGAAATTTATTATAAAAATCAGGACTAAGCTCTTCTGACATCTTTTCTATGGGTGGGACAGCAGGCAATCTAAGTACCTTCCAGTGTAATTTTCCCTCTGGTAGTTATTAACATTTTCTCATTATTCTTGAACATTATTAAATTTAAGTGTGATTTATTTATTTACTTATTATTATTATTTTTTATTGCCACTTGGGGTATAAGTTCAACCTCAGGACTCCTATATTCTGGAAAATTCTCATCTATTATCTCTTAAACAAGGGCTTCTCTATCAATTCTTTTGGGTTCTCTTATTGATATAAGTAACATTTTGCTTCTTGACACAAATAAATAGGTAGGTAGATAGGTAGGTAAATAGATATCTAAATAGATATGTCTATGTCTTAGTCCATTTGGGCTGCTATAACAAAATACCAGAGACTGGGTGGTTTATAAATAGCATAAATGTATTTCTCACAGTTCTGGAGGCTGAGAAGTCTAAAATGAAGGTGGTAGCATGGTCACCTTCTGGTGAGAGCTCTCTTCCTGGTTCATAGCTGGTGTCTTCTCACTCTATCCTTACAGAGTGGAAAGGGCTAGGGAAAGGGCTAGGGGTCTATGTGGGTCTCTTTTATAAGGTAATAATCCCATTCGTGAGGGCCCCAGCATCATGAATTAATTGCCTCCCAAAGGCCCCATGTCCTGATACCATCATTTTTGGGAGTTAGAATTCATCAATATATGAACTTTGGGAGCACACAAACATTCAGAGCAGAATAGGTAATAGATGATAGATAGATGGATAGATAGATAGATAGATAGATAATCAATATTGGATTTGTCTCTGGGCTGCATTCTGCACCTTCTACATCAATTCTGTCTTCAACCATATCCAGGCTAGCATTTGAATGGTTTGTTCTTTTTTTTTTTTTTTAATTTCAATGACTATTTTTCTTTTTATTATCTTCAAGGTTTCTAAAGGGTTCTTTCAAATACATTTTTTTTCTTATTTATCTTTAAAATCCCTTGCTCTTTGATGGATGTTACTTCTTCATTTACCTCTTAAAGTATAATTAACATATCAACTTTTGTCTGATTTTTTTTTTTAAGATTTTATCTATTTTTTGACAGAGAGAGAGAGACAGCGAGAGAGGGAACACAAGCAGGGGGAGTGGGAGAGGGAGAAGCAGGCTTCCCACCAAACAGGGAGCCTGACACGGGGCTCGATCCCAGGGCCCTGAGATCATGACCTGAGCCGAAGGCAGACACCCAACGACTGAGCCACCCAGGGGCCCGTGTCTGATTTTTTTTTTAAGATTTTATTTATTTGTTTATTTGAGAGAGAGAGAAAGAGTGTGTGTGCATGCATGCAGGGTGAGGGGCAAAGGGAGAGGAAAGAATCCCAAGCAGATTTGCATTGAGAGTGGAGTCCAGGACTTGGGGCTCAATCCCATGACCCTGAGATCATGACCTGATGATCTGAACTGAAAACAAGAGTCGGACGCTTAATGGACTAAGCCACCCAGGCGCCCCAGTCTGATGCTTTTTAAAAATTAATTTTACCTGGAATGAATTCATGATCCTGTTGTTGAGTACTGCCTTTCTCAGCCTTAGATTTCTTCATATGTTTTGGAATTTTTGTTTTGTGTACCCATTATGAGAAGGAGGTATTTTCTTTCTTTCGCTATAGTTTCTCACTATGAATGCCTTTCTCTTCTCTGCACTCACCCTTTCTTATCTAGCCCTTTTATATTTGTCTTTACCTGACATCCTCAGCCTTCTAGACCAGATTGGTCCTAAACTAGCATTTCTGGACTTCTGTCGCAGATTTATGTTGTAGATATCATAGAGTTAGGCATCCAACCAGCAGATGCTTACTTCATTTTCTGATTGAGAGATTATATCTGTATTCTTCAGCCTTTAAGCCAGAGACCTGGGTTTTTTTCAGCTAGTCTTCAGCATTTCTAAGCCACTGACTCTGGTTAGAGAACTCTTGAGTATTTATTCTCCAGAAATAGTACTTGTGGCCATCATTCCTATGTCTAGAACTGGAGCCCAGCAGGCTCATGGCTTTATCCCTGCTTTCCACTTTGCATTTCTGGTCCATTTCTAGCCTGTGGACATGCCCATTTCTTTTTTGAATACAAATTATTCTAAAAACTTTTTCTTTCTTTCTCTTTTTATAATTGACCTTATGTTTTGAGTAGAAAGAACAAGTCAGAACCTAAACTCATGGTGCCTACAACATGGTACTAATGCATTTTTCGTATGTATTATTTGAATCTTTTCAACTTCTTTGCCTCTTCAGGGCAGATATACATCTTATACATAGCCTATATCCCCTACTATGCAGACCACAGACATCATAAGTATATAGTTGTTGCTAACTACTTCTTAGTTTAAGTGATTTTGTTTAAAAAAGAAAATATGATTCCTAATCTTAAGGACATTGTATATATCAGAATATGTCAATATATTTCTGTGCATGTGTGTTTGAGTGTGTGTGTGTGTAAACAAGTATGTCTTTCATACCTATTAGGGTCCTACTGAGTTTATTTACCTGTTTATGTGATTCTCCTTCTGCTCTCAGTTTGGCCAAGAATATCCTGAATAGGATCCAAGAAATTTTTCTTTATTCAAAAAGAAAGAAAGAAAGAAAGAAAGAAAGAAAGAAAGAAAGAAGGAAGGAAGGAAGGAAGGAAGGAA